CCTTTTTAAATTTAGTATATTATAATAAATAAATAATAAATGTTTTCGATTAAATAATATGTCATATCACATTCACAACTTCTACTTATATTTTCTAAATTAAACCTCACTTGATTTCGAATCCCATGTTACCAACAAAGCTCCATCATCGCTCATTGTACCAAAAATCATATTTTAAATAAAAAATATTGCCTATTCTAATATAACTTTATTATCATCAATTGGAGGATTGGTAGGAGACTTAATTAAATTCACATAATGTCCATTTTTTGATAAGAGTATATTTTTAGATTTATTGTATTACAAAGGAAAATAGTTTGCATTTCCTTTTCCTCCTGTTTAAATCTAAAATTGATTTGATTAAATGTATATTCCATTTTCTTAATCCATATAATAAAATATCAAGGATGTTCCTTCCAAAGACGAACAAGCAAAAATGTTATCGGTTATAAATGATATACTTATCCCTCCATTATGAATCTTTTATTTTACTTGCCATTACTCTTAATGAGATCTAGAGATAATTAAAATCAAATTATCATTTCCACAGGAGAGTAATTTATTGCCTTAATCATTAATGGATAATCCGTATACATATGAAGTATGTTCTTAAATTGTTTATGAACAAGACCAATAGTTGAAATTAGTCATAGACCAAAATTTAATAGTTTTATCAGCAGATCCACTTACAATACAATCTTCCGAAGATTAACTTATTAATAAACAGTTTATAGCATAGGTATGATTTTTTAATTTGAATAGAGCATTCCATTTTTTAAATTGTTGATCAGGAGTCCAAATTACAATTGTGGAATCTAAAGAGCCTGAAATTAGTGAATTCAACATTTATGAAGCTTTTTTAAAGAAATTTAGAGTTGTCACATGATTTTTGTGATTCCTTTCCAGGCTTTGTAAAAGTTTTGGTTCTTCTAATTAATTTAAGGATTAATTAATTGTTAGGATGTTTATGTTGCATTCTGAAGCAATGGCAATAAGAGTATTATTGTAATTGATAGCCAAGGCTTGGCATAATTCTCCTTATTCGTAAGTGAGCTTTGGGATAATTTGGTATGAAAACGAACTACCAAGATTAGATTCCTTTAATAAAGGATATGACTGTATTTATTAATTATATTATTATAAGAATTCTGACATTAATGGCTATTTTATCTGTTAAGATATTGACTATTATTATTTTTGTTATTAAAACTCGTGACATTCCTTCAAATTAACTTCGTTCTAGCTTCCAATTATTTGTTTCAATATGTTTTGAAGGTTACTATACCCTTAAAAGGATTTGAATGGATCCAAATATGAATTTAACTTAATACTCTACGCTTTGTTAATCGTCATCAGTTCAAAATCGCTTGTTTTTTCTTCTATTTCATTTGCCACCTGTTGGTTATTTATTAAAAGATCTAATTAGTTGAAAAAGTTATAACGAGCTATTTATTCTCCTTTTTACTTAATGCTATTAATCCAATTATTTACTAAGTTAGTCAATTAATCTAACTATTGTAAAATAATAGATTCCATTAAAGAAATATTGCCATAAAATTATTTGAGTAAATTTAGATGAGGGGTTATGATTTCTTCATACTAGTTTAATTTCTATTTAATTGGTTTTTCTATAGTTTCGATAATCTTATTTAATGGGCTCACATTAAGATGGGTCAATTCGATGCAATTTTTACAAGCAAATCTTTGATCTGAGGTTAGCCCAGGTTACAAATTTACAGCACATATTGGCATACAATGATTTAGGAAACATTAATAGTCACTAAGGTTCTCCAAGGGTTTGGGATTGAACATTTAAAATAATATATTTGAATACATAAATGCATTCCTTCTAAATTAAAAATAACCATATTATGATAATTCTTTATTTTATTTGGATAATATGAATGGAAAGCTCATATCATCTGATTAAATCGTTTGATTTAAGAGAATGTTAAATTTCTTTCAAAATAACTTTGATCAATAACCAAAAAGAATTTGCAAAACCTAGTCCTTTTAAAATATCGAATTTGTAATTTAGAGATATGAACGAATCTATTCTTAATGAACCATGAATCTCATTTTTGTTTTGGAATTAAGAAAATTTATGGAGTCGATACAAAAATGAAAAATTTTTAGAAGAATATATTAAATGAAATATCAAAGTATTGTTTCATTAGTAGAGACAAACATAAATTTATTATTTAAAAATATTTAATAGTAGATCATAAAAAGATTAAAAGCAACAATAGAATAATCTTTTACTACCTTAATATTTTAATTTGTTATGAGAATAAAACCTTTTCGGGTTTATAATTTATCAATCTAATGTATATATTGTGAAAATTTTTGAATAGTAAAACTATGTGACTAATTAGCTATTTGAACCTAAATCAACAGAAATTGCCAAGCAAGTATATTTGCCATTGCTTTGCATTCCTTAAATGAAAAATTTAAGATAAGTCTGAATCAATAGAAAATTCATTATTGCTTTAAATTTAGAGAGTGAAAAATATTGAAAATCTTAAGATATCTAGTATGTATATTTTTCTTAATACAATGAAAAGCACTGATTTAAGAATGTTCATAATAATTAGTGTCTATTAAACTGTTAGAATATTCCCTCTATAAAAATAACATTTATGATAATTTAGTATTGAACTTTCACCTAAATTTAAATGTTGTTAAACTAATTATATCTCAAATTCTGAATGAAAAGGTCATAATTTACTAAAAATTAAAGCTTTGAAAGAAATTCTCTATTTAAATTTAAGATACTTATTCATTTAATTATGGTTAATCAATTATATTCAATGCTCTTAATGATAACAACATATCATAATTTTTGCTCCTAAAACCAAAATTATAGTTAATTGTAATAAGTAAATAGTAAACCTAAAATATATATAATTATAATTGTTGATTATTTAATTTAATTAAACCTTAAATAACTATATAGTATTATAAAATTAATATCAATAATTTTTTATAGCTCAGAGATGGACCACTTTAATTATGAGTCAATTATTTATTATTCATTTTTCTTAAAATTCCTGCTAATTTTAATAGCTATTGATAACAATTACAAAAAAGAACAGGAACTAAAAAGTTATTAATATGATATATCTTATAAATACAAAATAAGATAAATTCAGATAATAACAGAATATTAAATTGTGCAATCATTGTGTTCTTTAAATTGTAAATTGAAGTCAAACTATTGATTTATTTATACCACAGTGTTAAATTGAAACATTGAATTACATAATCGAATTTGATATAATTACAGAAACAAAAAGAATGAAATTCCAAACTATTGATATCACCTAGATTAAGCTAGTAATGTTAAAATAATTTGACTTAAATGTTATTATTGGAATTGATTTACTGATTTGATATCCTTTTGTATACATGATAACAAGAGTAATGGTTAATGAAATTTAAATGACATAATTTCACTTTGTAATTGTATTTTTTAAAATAAGTAAGACCATTAAATTATATAATTCTAATAATTTTTGATATTTTATATGTATTGTCTAATATATTAATTAAATTTAAATTTCTTTAATTATTAGAAAGGATTTTATAAAATTTAAATTAAAATTGAAAATAAAGATGTAAATTGAGAAAGAGATCCATTAGTTAATGTTAATTCGAAAACGATTGAAGATATTTTAGAAATTACAGTAATAGTTTTTATAAAATACCAACTATATTTCAGGAATATACTTTGTTAAGACCATAGAAATCATTTTCTTCAATTGGTATTTCATTATCAATACTGTCTAATCTCTATTACTTTCTTCGAGAAAGAGATAAAAGGTTTACATCTTAGTTGTTTAAATAGAGCCATTCTGATTTTCTTGCTGTTGATTTTAAACTAGTTTCTAATTCATTACTTTATAGATAAATTGAATTAAAACTAATACCAATTTAATGACACCGCTCTATCTCTTCTCTTAACTTATTTGAACGCACTAATAAATACAGCCTTGATATCTCGTAAATTATGTTTGAAAGAGTCATTTTCAATTCCATTTAGCTTTTAATGTTTCTGTAGAACTCTTGGAATTCTTTACTATCTATTACTTCATTTTTTAGTTAAACCTTTTTAATTTAAAATTTCCAATTTCTAATGATTTTGATATCTTAGAATTGAGGATAATAAAATGATATTAGATCTCGTATTACCTATTAATGTAAAAAGTAAGAGTTCATTGAATTTATAATAAATCTTGCCATAAATAGCACTGATACTATTGAACCAATATTTGCCAATATATCCCCAACAGTTGGGTATTCCAAAATAGTCTTTACCTGATTCCCTTTCATTTAGATATAAATTACAGAATAAGTTTCATAACCAAATGCCTATTTACAATAAGAAACAGAATTAGTTTGAGGTTAAATTTAAACTCCGTTAACAAACTCATAATAATTTGGTTAACCAAAAAGAAACGAATTTCTCACATCGTAATATGTAGTTTGAAGATAAGTATTCAATGTATAGCAGCTTTCTTTTTCAACTTAGATTAAAAACTCTTAAACACTCTATTAAATTGATGCATCTTTAGAATTTAATTAATTGTAATGGATTTGCATCACTATTGTGTTTAATGGTTATTTAAAAAAATCGTCAATTATATCTTAAGATGCACATTTTTCATCTTCGCTCAAAAGTTCTTCAGAACATTTAACAAAATAAATATACATCTCAGATGTCGTCATTAAAGAACCATTAATTTAAGAAAATCCAAGTTTCATTTATGGTATCAGAAACTAATTTCCATTATAACTAGTTTCATTTGAAAACTTTAATATTTAGGTGTCTACAACAATATAATTCTCAGTGTAACTTATCATTGGTATTAGAATTCTTTTCTCAAAAGGGTCAATTGCATCAATATTGTCTTTCCAATAATTAATCTTAATAATTCCATAATTCTAATCCAACAAAGAGAAATCAGATGCGTAAAGAGATGTAGATATTTTAGGATTTAATTAGTAAGTATTCCACCTATAAAATTCCCAAAATGCATAAGCTAAACTTGAAGAAAAAATCAATAAGGATATTATACCTCCAAATATGCTTTTGTATATTTAAGAATCTTGATCAACTCTCTAAAACAGTTGTGCTCCAAACAAATCCAATTATTTTAGGATATTAAAAATTTTCATATTACTTAATTTTTGTAAATTAATAATTGCCTTCTTTGTTTATATTTATTCTGAGATGAGAATACATTACATAAGGGTCATCAATTCTTATAGCCCTCATAAAAAAATAATTGTTACTTTATTAATAATATTAATATTGTATCATTTCATTCATTTTAGGAAAAATAGTATATACAACATGATTTAACTCAAATCAAATATGTGTTAATATAAATTTATAACATTTTTGTTAGTTAAAATTGGAATTGAAGATTTTAACATTCTCTTTTTGATTTGAATGGAAAGAAAACCTCAATCAAAATTTTAATTTTAGAATTCCTAAAACTATTCTATAATAAAACATGATATAAAAATTTGTCTTTAGAATCTTTTCTAATAATTGTATTTGAATTTAACTTCTTATGTTATTTCTCCTATACAACTAATTAACTGACTCCAAATAGGATAAAAATTCAAAGAAATATATCAACATTTGAAATCATAATAATATGAAGCAATATAATATCTCTATAAAACGCACAGGAATGCTATTTAATCATGACTCAAAATGTTATCTGTTTTCATAAATCTGCCTTTACTTTCACAACTTAAATGAATAAGTAAACTTAAAACAATCTAGATAATCCTCTCTATCAGTATATTAAGAAAAGTTTAGATTTTCCTCTAATAAAAGAACTAGTGATAGCTGGAAGCAATAATGGTAGTATAAATCTCGTATCAATCAAATCTAACTTGGATAATTATCGATAACAAAAAAATCTTTCATATATTTAAACAGAAACTAAATGTTCATAATCCTTTGATTCTTCTTTACTGTAAATTAAATGATGTATAATAAAAGAGAGTATGGGGATATAAGAAAAAGAAATGTTTAAATTGAGATCCTTTTTAAGCAATTACTCAATAATGATTAACACTGTTTTGGTTTAAGGAATAATTATTATTAATAAAATTTTAAAACTTCATTAAATTAGTTGGTCATTGTTACTTAAGATTTTACTCACATTCTAGTTTATTTACATAATTTTTTGAAGCGATACAATTTTTTTTATGACCTCTTTCTATATTATTCCTTAATTGATATTATTAGTCATTATTTCAATCTGATATAAGAATTTTAAGTATTTTTCTTGAACCTCTTTTAAATTAATAGTCAAGTAATACTTAGGTTGAATATCATAATTTGTTTCAAAATTATGACTTTTTTAGAATTGAAAAGATTTCCTAAATTTTTTTAACATAATACACTAATGCATGACAGCATTTCTCCTTATTTATGTAAAATAATTACAATAAGAATAAAAATATCTTTGGTTGAGATAATTTTTCTTAAAAATGAAAAAGAAATGTAATTCATCAAAAAAAATTGACTTTTAGAATTTTCCTATTTTTTGATTTACCAAGCAATAGTGATACCATTTAAGAAACAAGTGCTTTTATTTGCTTTTAACTCAGCGTTAATCTTAAGGAATCTGTAAATGCCTGGCTACTCGTCAGCAGCTATTAATAGTTAACATTTATTAGAATTTACTCTCTTAAGATGTGATAAAATTGATCAAGGTAAATAAGTGTTTGATTGCTAATAAGAAAAAGAAAAAAAGTCCAATTATACTAGGAACTTTAGAAACATGCAATTAAAACAGAATTATCTTAGGTTTCATCTAGCCAAATTACCTTACATGAAATGGTTAATCAATGTATTAGATATTTTGAATTCAAATGCAGAAAGTTGTAAACATAAGACTTTTTTTAAAAGAGCTCATGAATAAGTTAAAATATATAAACTTTAAGATTGATAGAAAAAGATTTCAATGCAAGATAACGAACGACTATTTAGAAAAAAAATTTAGCTAATCGAACAACAAATTAAACTATAGTAGATGAAATTAGATTCTTAACAAGAATCAAGAGAAAAAGATTGTCCATATTTCAAAAAGTAAAATGATTTATTGTAAAGAAAATACATAATCAGTAAATGAATATCAATTTCTCTATTTTCACAAACCGTCTTTCTCGTACGATCATTTAACCCTCCAATCATATTTATTAAGTATAAATTATCAGCTATAATCTTACTTTATTCAAAACTCAATTCTCAATCACATATAAATTATCATAAAAATCTGAAAGAACTAAAAGAAATACGCACTAACATACAATCTAATATCAACTATTTTCATAATTCATTATTATTGTGATTATGAATGAAATTTTCAAATTAGATTTCAATAATTTTGGATTTATTATTCATTTGTAAGTAGAAATAAAAGGATTTAATTAAGTTATTGTATTTTTTGAAAGTGGAATTGAATAGTAAGGGGTTCAAATATATAGAAAAATTTTGAGCAGAATCATCTTAATTATGCAAAACACTATTAATAACTCCATTTCAACAAAGTTAAATTTTAATATTGAAAAATTAATTTTAAATTGATTATATGAAATAAATTTATTTCATAAAACTCTTTATATAAGCTTAAAATTATAAGATCCAAAATTATATTATATTTTGTTAAAAACAATTGATTTTGGATTGTCTCCAGTTCAAAACTAAGTATTTTCTAAAAATGATTCATATATACTGATATTAAAATAATTGCCCCCAAATACTATATTTAATTTTATTAGTTTATTAAAAATTTAATATAAATTCATGATTATGGCATTTTTTTTATGCACTTACTCTGCAGCATAATATTCCTTCCCAAACACTACGCTTAATTTAGATTCTTTGAGTTTTTAAAAAGTCATTACAATTCATGAATCTGAATTATCTGAGGAGAGTTGCTTAACTTTTGGAATATGGTCAAAATATAGCCCATTAAATATACAAAGTTTTAAGAATCAGATTGGAATGTTTCAAAGTAACTGCTTTTAATTAATTAATGTGATGGAATATTCTACTCAGACTTTAAATTTTATTTATTATGTTTGCCTTGATTATTCTTCTAAAAGGATTGTAAAGACTATATAGTTTATAAGTGATTAAGATGAATAAATTAAATTTGAGAAATATGTTGATCCATCCAAATATGAAAACATTTGGTATTAATTTTAGTTCATATCATGGCCAAGATTAAAGAAATTATAATTAATCATAATATAATCAGAGAGCACAATTTTCAATGAAATAGTAGAGAATATTCAACCTTTAAAAAAATCGCAACTTTTGCTAACTTTTGGAGACAGCTTGGTAGTAAAGAATTCTTAGATTGATTAACTTACCTCAGGAATGTTACTTTCTTTGTTCCCAGGATAAATTGTTACATATGACCCTATAATATAAGCAATCCCTACATCATTTGATTTTGAATCATAAATAATTCAAGGATATTAGAATCTAATTTAATGTAATTGTTAAAAAAATGAATAAGTGAACCTACAAAACATTGACTTAAGTGTTCTTGATTCTAAGATATATATTTCAGGAAATTCTAGTTGCGATTATTATGGGTTTGGGTTTGGGTTTGGGTTTGGGGTTGGGGTTTGGGGTTGGGTTTGGGGTTTGGGGTTGGGTTTGGGGTTTGGGT